AGGAACTAGTGAGTCACAGTAAGTATCTGGCGCCGGTTCCAAGGTGAAGAGGTTCCCCCCTCCCCAACCCCCTGCTCAGTCAATCCCCTGGATGCCAGGGTAATCAATGCTGGCAGGACTCTCCCAGGACTCTCCCACACTGGTTCCTTTTCTGACATGCTGTAAATCCAATCTGTATAAGGGACGCTGGGCCCGTTTCCCAGCAGGTGATGCTCCCCACCAATAGATGGAGCCTCTCCCCAGGTGCTAGTGGTGTCTGCTTTTATCAGCACCACTAACACGGGTGGGGGTATATTTAAAAAAAAAAAAAAAAAAAAAAAACATGAGAAGATGCACCACTGTTGTGTGCAAAATAATGACTCTCCCATTGGGACATGGGAAGATACACCGCTGTTTTTGGGTAGGGAATCTACAAGAGGAAGGAGTGTTTCCTGCAGGCGTAGCCTGCCGGGTCCCACTTGTTTATCTTAAACAAACAAAAAAAAAAAAAAAAAAAAAGGCGTGGTTGAAAGCAGACATTGTGACTGGTTTCGGCCTTTGTCCATCTGAGCGTCTGTCCGGTTCCTTTTTCACCCACAAGTCAAAAGCTCCCAGAGGTAAGCTCTTGCCTTCTTGTTGAGATCACAAATGGTGTGGATCAGGATTGTCCAGATGGATGCTATGTGCCACATCATGGAGTAATTCTATGACCGTCTCATTCAACTTGCCGGTGGATAGGAGCCGGACTGACTGGTGGACCCCAGAGGACAAATTCTTGGAAAAAGCAAGCTGCGGATGGTTTTCCCAGACCCGATTGGAAAGGGAATGCGTCATGGAAACCCATTTTGTGTAGGAGCGGGGCTTTTTCTAGGACCCCAAGGCACACAGCATGCAGCCCGGAAAAACGGAGTTTGGTGTTTCCACATTTGGAAATTGTCGGAAAAGTGTCACGGAAATTATCGGAAATGTGTCACAGGAGGAAAAAATGCCAGAAATTTGTGCCATTTCGAGGAGGGTAGTGGAGAAGCCATGGAAAAGTTCTTGGAAAGTCAAGGGCGAGACCCAAGGTCCATCCAGTGTCCGGAAGGGTCCGTCGTCCGGTTCCTTTGGTGCAAGGGCGGGCATGGGAGCAAGGTGGGAGGTGCACTGCCCTTCCAAAGGACATCCACGTACTTTGGTGGTCCAAACGAGTGTACTACAGTTTCCCATTTCGGAAAAACCACCCTTTCCGAACTTTTTCCACACTCTCCGGTGGGGTCCCGTCTTTTTTGGTGGCCGACTATACTAGATGACGCGAAAAGTTACGTCCAGACTTGTCAAGTCTGCCAGCGGGACAAACCGCGAACTTAAGGACCACTTGGGTTACTCAAGCCCGCCCATTCCTGCAGGTCTGGGACAGAGGGTTTCCATGCATTCCATGGACACCCTCATGATCAGCAAGAGTGTCAAGAGACACATTTTCGTCATAGTCGACCGGTTCACTGAGTACGCTAGACTAATTGCCATGCCTGAGACTGCAAAAGACTGAACACGTTATCGAGTTATTCGTGGATAACTGGGTGCATGATTTTGGACTGCCCAAGACGATAATAAGCGATAGAGATGTCCGGTTCACCAGCGAGATGTGGAAAAAGGCTGCTGAACAAATGGGCAACAACTCCAAATTACCTCCGGGAATCACCCCGAAGCCAACGGTCAAACGGAACAGATGAACCGCTTGGTGCAGCACCTGCTGAGGCACTGCATCAAGCCCAGCCAGGATGACTGGGATGAGAAGTTGCCTCTCATCGCCAGCCTGTACAACAACGCTGTTCACAGCACCACCGGCATCAGTCCGAATGAGCTGCATTTGGGGTGGAAGCCTAGATCTGCACTACACTTCCTCCTTCCTGAAAACCGACCAGCTGCAACTCCTGGAACCACAGAATTTGGTGTCTAGTATGAGAAGGTGTTGCAGCAGGCTGTCAAGCATATTAGAAAATATCAGGCAGCTATGATTGCCTCTGAGAACAGATATAGACAATAGTCCACATTTCAGGTAGGGGAACATGACTGGTCAAGGCTAGTGAGTTAGTACAGGAGTTCGGCATATGTAGAAAGCTAATACCTCAGTACTTTGGTCCTTGGGAAGTCCTGGACATTGTGGGTAGTGATTTGGATGGTTCCTCTTATGTGATCATAATCCCTGGTGCTACCCGTGGAGCGAGATCCCACTAGCCAATGTAGCCATGTATGTGGATTAGTGTGACGGGTGTGGGACAGGTGGGGGACAGGTGGGTGGCAGTGTGAAATAGGGAAGATAAATGCAAAAAACCATTTCATGACCAAATAAATGAAGAAAAAACTGCTAAAAAAGGAAAAGAAAGTGCTCTTCTCACAGATGGTGTCTGCTAAAAAAAAAAAAAAAAAAAAAAAAGATGGTGTCTGCTCCAGGCGGGGTGTCAGATGTCAGGGTATGATTCACTGACCATGGCTGTGGCAGTCAAGATGACTGCATCTGAGTGGGCACACAGACCATATTCATTGACAATAGTCTGAGGCTTCCTTGAAATAGGCCGCAGTGCACGCTGTTCGGTTGTTCTGACAGAAATTCCCTTTAGCAAAGGAGGGCACGAGTAACTCCATTCACCATTTGCTGTAGGTGAGGGGATCGAACCCTCCCAACCACAATCAATTTGCAGCGATGAAGCCATTCGTCTTTGCCTTCGCTGTGAATGAAACGCACGTGATTTCATGAACCAAAAAAGTTGGTCTCGATTTCACGCACGTTTGGGACCGCCACAGGACCCCCACAGCAAAAACGGAAGAAAAACCTACCAATGGGAGAGCGAAAGAAAACATCCTTTTTCCCGGGCTTAATTCACAAAAACAGGCTACCGCTGATTTCCTGCCAAATCCACGATGCCTGACAGTCACACACCTTAAACACTAATCCACATACGTCGGTAGTGGGATCTCACTCCTGGTGTAAAAACAGACAGTAAATTCCTCCCGCGCGTGCCCCCCCCCCCCCCCCCGCGAAAAAAAAAAGAAAAACAAAACAAAAAGAACCCTCTTACCACCTAGAGCCTAGAGGCACATTCATTCTCGCATAGGGTTTTGACAGGGCTAGCAATACGAACAATTAGAAGAAGAGCCTCATATTAGTACCTTTCTCGGCTATCGATGCCGAGCCTGAAATCGCCTTGTGCGCCAAAAAAAGACGAACCGCGCGTGCCTCATTTTGGTCCGGTAGTACCTAGCCGTGCTTGGCTCCCGAATATACCGGCGCATATTTCCTTTTCAAGCGGGGGAAAGGTACTGGTGGTTTAAGCAGGGAGAGCAAGTAGTGAGACCGAGAAGAATCTCAAGTAGAGGGAAAAGGCTGGAGAGGAAAATGAGGACGGCAACTGAGGGAGGGGAAAGGCATACAGAGAGACAGCTGGAAAGATAAAGGTACTACATTGGGTAAAAGGGAAACAAGAGCACAGGGGGATCAAGAGGGAGACGAAGAGGGAGAGGAGGAAAAATAGTGTGAGTATGCGACGGGAGGGGGCAGAGAGGGGGGGGCGGAGGGGGCGGAGGAGAAGGGCTGAGAGAGGGGAAGTGGGCAATGCCTGGGTACCAAGGGGAGTCTCCCGGTTGTCTTCGAGTCTCTCAGGGCCCCACTACAGCCCCTCATGAACACTTGTATCTCTATGTTTTTCATCTTTTGCTTGCCGGAAAAAGTAACCGGACTGGTTTCCCCCCAGAATAGAAGGGGTGTGTGAGTGAGTCAAAAAACAAAGATAAATTATATTTGCCGACTGCTTGCGCACTGTTGTGTGGGCATCTTCCTCTGCGAAAGTCATTTAGCTATTGCTGATGAGTAGTAACCGAAGTCAGCTAGGTGTATGCTGCCAATCTTCCTCTGTGTGTGTTATTAAAAAAATAAAATAAAAAGCATCTTCTCAGCAATCATGCAAAACTGTGTATATGGAACACTTGGACCTGTTTCCAGCAGGTGCTGCTCCCCACCAATCAATTGGAGCCAGCAGGAGGGCTCCAAGTGGTGGGGACTTACATCTCCATGTCTAGCAGTGCCATCTGTGTGTGTTATTAAAAAAAAAAAAAAAAAAAAAAAAAAAGATAGTGACCGAGGATAGCCAGGTGAGGTGAAGATGGTAAGATACTAAGGAGACTGCTCTCCCCCTCTACAGGAAACGAGACTCAGAGAACGAGATTCAGACTCTTCACCCGAATAGAATGCCCGCCGCCTAGATACAGGTGGAACAAGGGACCGACTGCGCCGACGGGTTAGCGCACGGCGGGAGTGCTGCACTGGTGCTACTCCGGAAACTGGGTCAATGACGGTGTCATCAACGGTGAGAAGGGGAAGGAGACACCGGCAGTGACGAGCGACGGGCAATGGCACGAAGGGGAAAAAGACATCGGACGTAACGAGCGACGGGTGCGACATAGGGGATTGCACAAGGGGGGAAGGGCGGGGCGGCTACGGAGACGGTGTCATCAACGGCGCGAAGGGGAATGAGACATCGGCCGCGACGAGCGACGGGCAATGGCGTGAAGGGGAAAGACACAGCGGATGCGACGAGCGAAGGGCTCGACGTAGCGGAGTGCACAAGGGGGGAAGGGCGGGACTGCTGCGGAGACTGCGTCGACGAAGGTGACGTCAACGGCGAGAAGGGAAGGCGACATTGATCGCGACGAGCGACGGACGGGTCGTAGGGGATCGTACGTAGAGCGGGAAGGGGAAAGTGACATTGGATGAGACGAGCGACGGGCGCGACGAAGGGGATTGCATAAGGGGGGAAGGGCGGGATTACTGCGTCAACAAAGGTGACGTCAACGGCGAGAAGGGAAGGCGACATTGATCGCGACGAGCGACGGACGAGACGTAGGGGATCGTATGAACAGCGGGAGGGGGAAAGAGACATTGGACGAGACGAGCGACGGGCATGACGAAGGGGATTGCATAAGGGGGGAAGGGCAGGACTACGGAGATTGCGGCGACGAAGGTGGCGTCAACGGTGCGAAGGGAAAGCGACATTGTTCGCGACGAGCGACGGACGGGACGTGGGGGATTGCACGAGCGGGGAAGGGGGAGCTACGGGAGGGGACTAGTGCGTATAGTATGGTGACATACATCACAGGGTGACGTATCATTGCGAGGATGAAGGGGTAACGCTGGATCATCCTCTCGGGTGAGATACTTCAATCATGTTGGTTTCATTAAGGAGGTAAGCCACCAATTCTTTATAGCATAAGAGGGGGAGCTCTAACATTGGAAGCAGCATTGTAACGAAAAGAGCATCGGTTCTTCATTGTCATAGTGGAGAAGACTTCTATCGTCATATGTGGAAGGGAGTCTGAAATTGACTATAGGGAAGAAAGCCAGAATAGGGGGTGATGTGTCACAAACAGAGGAGACAACGGGGCAAAGGGAAGAGAAGAGACGGCCCAAAAGGGCAAGACAAGTGAGGGGGAGAGAGACGAGGGAGGGACGTCGCATAGGATTGGCTGGAAACGGACTATGAGAAGGAAAGGGAAGTGAAGGGCAGAGGGACGAAGAGGGAAGGGGACGGGGCATAGGAAGACGAAGTGAAGTGACACAGGATAGGGAAGTACTGAGACAAACGAAGAAAAAGGAAGTGGAAGGGAGAAGGCCGAAGAGGGGAAGGGATATACGAGGTAGAAGCCACATAGGATTGTGAAGAAGTGGGACATAAGAAGGAAAGGGAAGTCGAAGGGAGAGGGAAGGGAGTAAGCACTATAAACTAGAATTCGTTTCAAACAGGAAAAATCACTTAGGGAAAAAAAAAAAAAAAAAAAAAAAAACGGGGGTGAAAGAGGCAAAAAAGGGGGGGGASGTGGGTTRGGRGGGAAGGGGGCGGGGGGGGGGGGGGGGGGGGACACACAAGGTAAGACTGGGAGAGTCAGGGGCTGATAGTAGTGGAGAGTGTAGGGCTAGATGCAGATTAGGGGGCTGGAGCAGGGATCTTGGAAAATGCCATTCTCTTATGTAATGGCAGCCCAAAGGGCTATGACTGAAAGGGACAGAAGAGAGAGTGAACAACTGAAGGCACAATCACATACCACGTCAATCGCAGGCATCAGGCTCAGTCAATCTAGAGCGTTGGGACAAAAAACTCTTGATTTCTTGATAGAAAAAAACACAAATTACGGCGCCTATCAAAGTCACAAAGGAAGTGGTCAAGGGTCAGGATGGAAAGGAGGAGGAAGTGAACGTGTGGGAGTACCCGGAACAGGATCTTCAGTCACTTCATGATCTATACGCACGTCATGCTGTGTTATTTAATTTCTCAGGCAAAAACAGGGAACTCTCGCTCAATGAAAAAAGAAAGTGGGTGATGGAGAGACTCAGGGGACTAGAGCACATCCCAGGCATGGAACCAAAGGTGTCATACCACAAAAGAGGAAGATTTACGGTAATGATAGTTTGTGTGGATCCTGCGTACGCACAATTTTTATTGTCCTTGGGTTCTCTCAAATGTCATGGCTCAGTGGTAACCATTCAAGCATGGACGCCTCCACAACCACCACCGGCTGAAGCATCGAGACACACGCAGGCTATGCTCAAAGATCATTTTTGGGTACAATTTGACAATCTCTCAGAAGGAATGCATAGCTTTGTCCAACAACGTCTTACGAAGGAATTTCCAAATAACCCAATTATAGAATGGTTCCCCGCTAATCCGGATTTTCTTGCTCCGAATCATGATTCAAGGGTGGCATGTTTGGAAGTTAAGTCGGGAGCTCCACCAAAGTTCCCAGAGGTCTGGATTTTTCGCAGGACGACAGAAAGAATTATGGTGTTTATGTCCACAAAAACTAATCCCTTTTGCTTTAAGTGCAGGGGTAGGGGACATTTGGGGACGCACTGCCCGCAGTCGGGAGCGGGGTCAAGAGGGAGTCAGCTACAATTAAAGCAATCAATGCTTGTCGAATCAGACAACAAACCAGGGGTCTGGTTTATTAATTCTGCACAATACAGAGGATGGATCTTTGATGACAACCTGGATATTCCACGATGGGTGTGGGTTTTGCGCAGAGCACCAACGGTTAAACCGGACATCTACCCTCCATATGATAGTAGATGGAGGCAAATGGGTGCAAAGCGGATGGTGGATAGGGATGTGGGCTTTCTTACCAAGCCCATGATAGATGATGCCTCGATGTTGGATGACAGGCAGAGATTACAGACCATGGCAAAGCTAAACAAAGTGGGCCAAGCAGCGGAGCAGGCTTTCCTGGAAAACAGGAGAGCAAGAGAGGAAGCACAGAGGTCAGAAGAGAAGGGAAGTAAAGATGAAGAGGGGGGCGATAGTGTCAAGGGAAGTAAGACCGGGTCAAGGAGTAAGGGAATGACGGAGCAAGAGTTTGTGGAGGATGGAGGAGACAGGGTCACTGGAAGTGAGGAGAAGGGACGAGAATAGATCAACCTCTCTTAAGAGGAAAATCACTGATAGGGAATCAGCGAAAGGTGATAGCCCATACCATGGGTCAAAGAGGACACATTCAGGGAAAGGAATTGATGGAGTTTCTTTAGAGGGGGAACAGGGGCACAACGTTGATATGAAAGAAGAAGGTCAGGGAGAACAGGGTTCTCAGGGGAAAAAATTGACATTACAACCTCTTCAGAGGGCACGTCAACGACAGCCTCAACAGACCATCGAACAGAACAGGGGTCTGCACCGGGTCGAACCAACTCTACAAATGAATCACCTGCCGCTGTTACGAAAAACACAGCATAGGATTCGGGTGGCGAGAGTATCGAAGGGGAAGGGAAAATGGCACAGGATTCAGATACGGATTTGGAGGGGGACAGTGACAAGGGGGAGGACGACTGGGAGGAAGAAGACGAGGAAGAAGAGGACGAACCGGAGACACTGGCACAGTGGATTAAACATGTTCACAAGTTGAAGTGGGAGAGGCACATTGAGTGTGAGATTCGCTTGGCACATCGCAAGCATTTGCGCAATCTCAAACAAGCCACAACAGCGGGGGACGACATTACAACAGCAAACAAATTCGAAAGACTGAAGAATGAGTAGGAGGTTAATGAGTTCTACGCCACTCAATATGGATGGAAAGCCAGGTTGGACAGGAATGACATAATGGTGCATAACGCGGGCTACTCTAAGCAGTTCATTTGGCCCAAGTCTTATCAGCCACAGTCTGAAGAGAGTTGAGCAAAAGAGAAGGGCGCAACAGCAAGAACAGGAGCAGTTGGGAAGTAGGGACCAGGATTTGTCACATGCCACTCAGGGGTTGGCTTTGGATGAACAGATGGAGGAGGAAAAGAGACAGGCAGCGATCTTGGAGGCACAACTGGAGGTTCTCAGGGATTAGAACATGGAGTTAGGGGAAGACACTACAAATCTGCAGAAAATAGCCTATGCTCCACACGCAGACATCAACGCAGCAGCCAAGTTGTATGCAAGACAAAACCCAAGCAAGAGAATCATTCTGCCTTACAGATGGAACAGCGGCAATGCCGATTGGGAGGTAGCCATCCACATGTCTCTGGCACTGATCACAGTGAAGGACAGTCACTGCGAGCATGTCATATTGAAGGAACTTATCACAAAAGATCTGCCCGAGCAGGCACACGTCATTGGGGATCTCAACCAGGATAGGGAAGAATGGGAAGACACGGAGGGTACAAGGCACATGTTGGATTACAGACCAGTCATGATCAAGTTACAGGAAAGGGCAGTGTTGGCAGAGGGTTTCACCTGCATGCCATGGCAGGTGGTGGAGACGATCCCATATGGTCTGCTGGGAGGGTTGGAGGCGTCAGAGTGGGTGGCAAGAGGAGCGGCCATAGTGACCAAAAGCAACGTGTTTGCATGGCAGCCGGAATACATTGACGAAAAGATGGACATTATGGCTACAACAGTAGAGTGGACAGGGCAGGATCTTGAGTAGTGAGTTCGAAAATAGTCAAAAAGACAACATAGATCACGGAGGTGGGACTGAGGGAGGGAGTGTACAAACGTAGAAGGACAGTGGAAACTTCTAAGAATAGGGAACCGAACTTTAGGGTTATGTCTTGGAACATTAATGGGATGGTACAAATCTTAGAAAATAAGGACAAGTGGGATAATGTAATGAGGTACTCAAATTGGTTTGGGAAGACACCCCCAAATTTATTATGTTTGCAGGAAACTCGCCTTACGGATTCCTTAGAGCATCAGAATATTCAGCAGCGTATAGTAAAACACTTAAGGTGGGTTAAGGCAGGTTTTTGGGCGGTGGCCGACAGGTCACATTCAGTAGGCGTAGTAATTTTATTGAATAAAAGATCGGTGGCATCAGATAGAATAATAGTTCAGGATGTCATACTAGATGAAAACGAGGGTAGGTGGATAAAGCTCAACTTTAACTTTCAGGAGGAGCAGTTTACACTCATTACAGTCTATTGTCCTAATGGAGGGCACCTGCAGTCCGAAATAATAGATTCTCTTCAAAACCGCATTGACCCATCAAGACATCTTATACTGGCTGGGGATTGGAATGCAACTTTGGATCCTAGTAGGGACCGATTATTAGGTGGCAGGTAGGGTTAGGGGAAGGACTGATGTGGGACGAAGCCCTTCCTATTCATAATCTTATGGCGGCTAGGGACCTGGTGGATCCATTTACACTTCAACAGCCAGAAGGAAAACAATTCACATACTATAAAAGGAATCGTAGTCAACATATTTCAGCATCAAGGATTGACTACTTCCTTATATCACAAGACACTGTGGGAACAGTACACTCAGCGGGAGTAGGGGACTTACCATACTGTACGTGTCTAGATCATAAACCCATATTTCTTAACTTTATTATGGATAAACATGTTCACAGAGGTAGGAGTTTCTATAAGGTTAATAACTCGTTATTAAGAACTAAAGAATTGAAGGAAGCTGTTTTGAATGTGTGCCTAACACACAAACCGGTCACACAATCATTTGCGGACCTTACAGAAACCCTGTCAGCAGCAACGGTAGCAGTAGCGAGACAACTGGCAACAAGGCGGGCGGCAAGGGAATTGGAACTACAAAGGGCATTGCGTATAGCGGAAAGGAACCTAATTAATAACCCGCATTCAGAGATGTATGAGAAAATAATAGAAGCAGCAAGAAACAAATTGGGAGAGTGGGAGAGATGGAAGGCTAGAGGACTGCAAATGAGAGCGAGAGTGAAAGAATGGGAGGAAGGGGAAAGAATGGCGAAGTATTTCTTCCAAAAGATTAAAGCGAGAGGAAGAAACAAGCTAATAGAACAGTTGGAAGGTCCGCAAGGAATGGTCTCGGATCCGGAAGGGATGTTATCAGTGGCCTGCGACTTTTTTAGTACTTTATACACCTCTAGGGAAGGTGACCATACTCCTAAACAACTGAAGGAGGTCAGAAATAAGTTTCTTTCATACCTAGAATGTACGGTGAAAAGGGACCATGCAGAAAAATTAGATGCCCCTCTCGTATTGGCCTATCCTGGGAGGAGAGTACGTACCCTTTCTCAATCAAGCCTGGCAGAAAGAAGGTTTGGGGTTAGAGTCGGCAACAGGCATAGTTACTCTGCAATATAAGAAGGGAGACCCGAGGGATATCAAAAATTACAGACCCATTACATTGTTGACTCTTACTCACAAGATTGTGGCTAAAGCACTAGCTAACCGCCTGAGGAAGGTTTCAGAAAGTTGTTTTCATCTGGATCAAACGGGATTTATACCGCAAAGATTTATATTGGATAATGTTATGACTTTATCAGAATCAGTAAGGTATATTACTAATAGGAGGATAAACGCAGCAATTCTCTTTTTCGACTTTGAAAAAGCATATGATCAAGTCAACTGGAATTTCCTACAACAATGTATGGAGACAATGGGGGTGGGTCCTAACTTTCGTAAATGGATACGTGTACTTTATAATGACGCACACGGGCAGGTCCAGGTTAATGGCCACATATCACATCAATATAAAATGACAAGGTCAGTAAGGCAAAGGGACCCTTTAGCGGCTCCTATTTTCTTGTTTATAATGAAAGCTATTGCCTCATTCCTCAGGAAAGACCCTTCGATCGACCGTCTGATTGCGGAGCCAGATCACCAGGGCCGAGTCATACATTTACCGACAACGATATTATTTGCGGATGATCTGACAGTACTAATAAGAGCAACGGATTCTTCTTTTCAAGCCCTTACGAGAGCAATGGCGGCATTCCAGCTAGCATCGGAAATGAGAATTAACTGGCAGAAGACGCTGGGGTGGTGGCTATCACATGATGACCAACAGTCATAGTATCACCCACAAAATTATGAAGGGATGACGTGGTTACCACAGGATCAGACATTGAGATATTTGGGTATTAGAATATCGGGTGAGGGTCCCCATCATTCTATGGCGCCAGAACACATGACAAAAATGTTATTAAAGTTGGCGACGTGGTCAGAAATACATACCTCACTGTTCGGGAGGGCATTGGTCATAAATGCTTCCATCTTCTCTATGCTATGGTACGTGGGAACAATATGGTCACCACCAGCTGATACACTACAAAAGCTGAGGAAGGTGGCGGCAGCATAGCTATGGACAGCAAACCCTTCGAGACTCAACTTTATATCAAAGGTGGCATGGAACCAAGTTATCCAACCAAAGGATAAGGGAGGGTTAGGAGTCCTGGATCCAGGGCAGCAGATAAGGGCACTTCAAACTAAGTGGATCATAAAGCTGTTAACACAGCCTCACCTTCGATGGGTCCCATTGGTACTCGATCACATACGTCAGAAGGCAAGATATAAAACGCCATCCAATATGAAGGGTACATTTGGTTATTCTGCAAGGGTTGGACTAAGAAGGATAGAACTGGGGATCAAGTAGTAGACCAAAGAGTAACTAGGGGTACATATTGGGCTCAATTGTTCAAAATATAGGCAGAGGTCTTCCCGACGAGAGTAGGAAAACCGAGGACGAAGGATGAGGTGCTCAGACAACCGCTATTTTGTAATCCGTGGTTAAAAGACTCTCAAGGCCATGGGGAAAGTGGTTAGAACATGGTGTATGGCAGGTGGGGGGATGGAAAACAGGTAGGGAGTTGAGAGAGGAAAGGAAAGGATGTCACAAACTAATGGAAAACCTGAATGACATTCTCATCTCCATCCCGGATGAGTGGATAACGATATTGAAGGAACCGGACAAATGGGGAGGGGGAGATTGGGCAACATTAACCTCTACCAATGAACCAGAGGCTGCCTTTTGTATACGAAAGGAGGTCGGACCTTTTAACCAATGAGTGGAAGCAGATATGTACACAATACTTTCTCCAGGACTCATGGTCAGTAAGTTGGATAGGGATTCGCGGGTTCCGATAGTCATCAAGAAAAGCATCTTGAGAAAGATCAGAGTGGTGGAGAATGAAGATTTTACGATATTTGAACCACTGACATCAATTAGGGATCTGGAAATCGATCCAGCAGAGTGGGCGTGGAAAATCAGGGGAAGTTCGTCAACAGTAAGTAGGAGAATCAATATACTTCAGTACACTACTAAAGTGGGCTACCGTCTGCGGGGGAGATCACGCCAGTTGGACCAGATTTTGGCAAGAAGATGGGAGAATAGAATGGATATACCTAGGGACCAGGTAGAAAAGTTACCATGGTCAACTTTGCACAGCATCAGACTACCTAGGGTTAGGAGTATGCAGTGGCTTATCTTTCACGTAGCACTCCCAGTCAATGTTTGGTTATTCAATAAGAGAATGAGGAGGATAAGGGGGTAATGAGACATAGGGGTGAAGTCGAAGTAGGAGACCTAAGGGTTAGCCTGGGTAATGGGTAACCTCTTTCTTGCTGCTACGGTTATATCTGGCAGATCTAGTGAATAGATCTGAGAGGTAAGAGGGAAGCGTGGCAAGCTGACAGTCCATCCTCCAGCAGTCTGGAGTAATCACTGCTGTTCGGGGTCCTTCGGCCAGACGGGAGGAAGCGTGTGTGTTTATTGGTTGTATTGTTTATTCTGACTTGCCGGTGGAATAGGAACCGGACTGATGCTCCCCAGAATGGATAGGAGCCAGGACCATAAGGCCCTGTTTTTGGAAAAAAAAAAAAAAAAAAAAAAAAAAAAAAAGAATGCCTGCCGCCTGGTCATTATCTCTGCATCTGGATTGAAAGTTGCCCCAGATACAGCTATAATGACTGGGCGTTCCATTCGGGTGAAGACAGCAGTACAGGACGCCCTAGAGATGATGAGAAAGGTGGCTGGCCAATCATGGTCTCTACTCCTCTCCCATGGTGGCATGCATGGAATGAAGAGCAGTTTCCTGTAGTTCGTACAAGACTCTGCAAAAACTGTCTGTCTGTCATCTTCTGTAAGTGAACGCCCCTGGATGAAAAACGACTGCACGATGAAAAGACGTCCGGTACACAAGAAAAGAGGAAAGGGGAACTGCTGCTGTGTAGATGGTGTACATGATTGGAACATTTCCTGCATTCCTCCCTCCCTCCCTGCCCTCCATTTCTGCTTAAGCTTCATCGCGCCGAAAATGGATCGGGGATGAAGTTGTTCACCGGAGCGATGAGAGACCCCTCCGTCACTGGGCACTGTGGGCAGGCAACAAAGCTAAATAGGAGAACAACTTACCATGTACATGCCATGAGGGATATATTCATGGTGTGGATGTTGTACACAATTCCGACGTATTCGGTAGTGCTTCCTTCGCTCCTCCGGAGCCCTTTCTCCTTGCAGGTCACAGAATCTCAAAACTGAGAAAACTCTTGATGAGATGACAATTTGATGCCAATTGATTTATGAATGATTTTGTCGCAAAGGGGGTCCACCAAGCCGTTGAAAAACCTCAGCAGAACCCATGACGGTGAGACGGTTGAACCACCCACGCAAAATCTATCAGCTGGTGCCACAAAGAAGAAGGAAAGAGTGAACCTACTGAGTGGAGTTATGGGACCAATTGGCCTAGCTCAGTTGGTACAACCAATGAACTGTTGAAATACAGACCCCAGTTCGAATCTAGATGCAGGCAGAGGAACATAATAAGGTAGTACCGAATTTTACCTAGGGCCGGTCAGGTCAATGATGATAACTTGAGGCCGATGCGCTTTTAAGTGAGAAAAAAAAGAGTGGACTTATTGATCATCTCACCCCATGATTGCCATTCTTGCTCCCTCTGATCCGTACAACTCCAGAGAAGGGCATCCATCCCATATCCAACTCTACGTCCAGAAGGAGCGCCAGATGATCGATACACCCCCAAAGGAACAGAGCAAGTAAGCCCACCCCTCCGCAGTTAATAAACACAATCCTGAAAACAAGCAGTGAGAATAATTCCACTTACAGATGAGTGAAATGCACTCCAACACAGGTAGGCAAATGTGGCACATGCCTATCCAACATAACACGGTAGCTGACACACTGCATTGGCTTAAACCACCAGTACGTCGCCACGTCGTTTGTACGAGGGGGAACTCCCCTGCACACCAAGCTTCGCCGAAACGTTAGCATGGCATTTTTGGTTTTGCTGTGGCTGGCGGCGGCTGGCACTGCCAGCCATTTTGGTCCCCTTGCCCCGAGCCTTGGAATTTTTTCGGAGAGAGACTGTCGTTGTTCTCAGGTTGCCTGGGTCCGTGTACTGGTGGTTTATCAGGAATGGTAACTGTATGCCCTGGTAACTTCACAGCACAGTAACTACTACAAAGTTACAAACACACTAGGAACTGCACGATCTGGTAAGAGCAAGTCCAGAACCTGCATAGCTGAATACGTACACAACCTGGTAAAACAGCACAATAATAACTGCACAACCTGGTAACAGCAAAGACCAGCGTGTGCACAGCACAGTAACTGCACAACCTGGTAACAGCAAGACCAGCGGGTGCAGCACAGTAACTGCACAACCTGGTAACAGCAAGACCAGCGGGTGCACAGCACAGTAACTGCAGCACAATGACTGGACAACCTGGTGACAGCGCAGTAACTGCAGCACAATAACTGCACAACCTGGTGACAGGACAGTAACTGCAGCACAATAACTGCACAACCTGGTGACAGCACAGTAACTGCAGCACAATAACTTCACAACCTGGTGACAGGACAGTAATTGCACAAACCTGGTCACAGCGCAATAACTGCACAAGCTGGTAACAGCAAGACCGGGGTGTGCACAGCTCAGTAACTGCACAACCTGGTAACACAGCAAAATGAGTGCACGACCTGGTAACAGTGCAATAAGTGCACAAAACCTGGTGACAGCTCAGTAACTACACAACCTGGTTAAACTAAAGTGAGGAGAAAATGCACAGCCCAGCCCCCAGCCGGTGCATGATAACGTTGACAGGAGCATCGAAAACCTGTACCTGCGACGAGATGCTAAACTCCAGGACGCGGACAGCTGCAAAACCCAGACGTGATGAGCTGGGGCATCAACAGGCAGAGTAGCTGCACAAACTGAGTCGTAGGGGCTGCTGCAAAGAACCCCCTCAGGAGAGTAACTTTCGCTCGGCCTCCTTCTCCGGCGAGGCAGGAGTCTGGGGTGGTTCTACTTCTGGTTGAGGGGTGCCCTCCTCCTCGAGGGCAGCAGTTGTGCGGACACTTCCTGCTGCAGGCGCACGGATTACTCCTCCTGGGTTGCCAAGTAGACCCTGTACCTCCAGAGTCTCTTGGTTATCTGAAGCCTCAAGCATTTCTGCCATCTTTCTCTCCTTTCTCCTCTTCCACCACAGGAGCAGAAGCAGCAGCAGCAGACAGAGCAGTGGTAGAAGCAGCCCAAGGACCAACCCCAGAATCAACCCGAGGTTAGGTCCGGGGCCAGCATTAAATGGTGCAAAATCACCGAATCTCGTGGTCTTACAAACAGTCACCGTGTCGTTTGACAGGCTCTTAATCACGGAAACACCTTTTGTGGTCCAGCGTCCATCCTTTTCATCAAACACGTAACAGTACTGGCGCTTGTGTCGTGGCTTGGTGTGCTGAAGACGGATGATGATGTCTCGCCCTGACGGAACCTTTACGGAGAGTTTCTTCCTTCGAGATCTCTGGCCAGCTGGACCAGGGGCCCCATCGTAGGCATGAAGACCCACCACCCAACCTGATGGCTGCCGTCGATTCTTCCCAAAGTCGGAAGGGTTGAAGTCACGAAACACTCGATGAACAAGTGCAATGACTGGTGACGCACCGGAAACCTGCAGCCCAGGAGGGATCTTGAACTGGTCAGTCTCGATACCTACGGCAATGAACCACTTCAATCTCATTTTCGTGCCGCGGGCCACGTACAGAACTTCTGAATCAGCGAAGTCATCAGGAGTAAACACCGTCATTCCTATCGATGGGCTCATTCCCACAGAGATGGCTGCCCTGTTAATGAGATCTGATAGTGTCCGGTAAGTACGTCCGGTGAGGACAGGAGGGGACATTTTAGAGGCAAGAACCCGCTGCCTTCGCTGAAAGACACCCGGCACACCTGCAGTGGACGATGAGTTGATGATAATCCCTTCCACGGGAACTTCTCCTGAACCACCACCGCCACCGTCACCACCTACTCTTGCTGCTGCTTGCCCATCTTCAGTTGGTGCTATGGGCATTCTCCTCGGCACTACCGCCCGAGAGGCTGCCAGAAACAGCTTACTGATGATGCGAGTGACCTCGTCTCCTTCGTCTTCATCGATTTGCTCACGCAACACCGATCCCAGCCAAGCAGTTACATCATCAAAAAGGGTGCTTGCAACCTCCTTCTTAGGCCCCAAGGCACTTCCCACCACAAACAGATAAGGAAGAAGGATATCTGAGGAGAGCTGCTTCTTAGCGATGAATGGCTCAAGGAGTGCAATTCGCCACTTCATTCTCTCTTGCATGGAGCCATACTCTGGGTGGTTATCAAGAGCAAACCCTAGAGACACTGCCAGCTCGAAAGCATCATCCAGACTGCCATTGGTAAGGAACTGTGCTATGCTGGGGATGCGTGAGTCCAGCCTTGCTCGGAATTTCACTTCGTCCATGCAGCAGGGGTCGGACTGCTTTATATCAACAGGGAATGACGTAGAAGCATAGGTGCCAATGGCATCGAATGCCTTTATCTGGACACTCTTGGTTGCTGGGACCCATATCGCTCTCTTGCGGAGGGGAGTCCGGCGAGACAGTGGTTTCCAGCCCCATGTTTCACTCACAAACCCATACTGGTGAATGATACGGACATCTGGATCCCGCCACTTGGACGTTTGGATCGTGAACTTGACGTCTGTCTCCGTTCCTGATGTGGGGATGGCGACCAATGTGCCCCTCGAGGGAGGCATGTTGATCACCAGCACCGACTTCACCACTGACACTTTGTTTGTGTTGTTTGTGGCCGTGTCCTTGACCGTGACTGTGACAACATAGCGGCCTGGTAGCAATTTGTTGGAGGCGAACTGTAGCTGTGGCAGAGTTGGTGCTGTGAGTATTACCTCTCGTGACCTCCTCAGTTTCTCTCTCTCCGACTCGTCTGTAATGGGCATGGTACACTCAGGCATAAGCAGTGGTCTGCAGGTGCCATCCTCCAAGTCCCCAGTTACGGCATCAACCTCCCATGAAAAGGTCAAGGAGTCTATGTCCCCAGGTCCGGCAGAAGGAGCACTCTGCAGTGCATCGACCAGCATCTTTCTCTGGGGATTGGCTTTATAATTCAGCGGATAGGTGTTCACTTCCACCAGAGGTATACCAGGCTCTACAATGTTCAGGATTACCCAGGTTTCATCGAATCTTTCATCAAGCTCATCCTGGCTGTAAGTAAGGACAGAGATGTTGTATTGACCAACAGGCAAGGTGTTTGCCGCAAAGGTGAGAGACACGCCAGTAGTTGTCTCCACGTCAATGGGGTAGTCGCCTTCATTGCGGACATCTTCAGGAATATGGAATTCACAGCCAGCATCACTCGGTCTGACAAGGCAGGTCCACTCATGGGCAAGGCCTGGCCCAGGGTATTGAGTGGATGCTGAGCGGTCCACAGATCTGGAAGCGTTAAGCTGAAGCTCTTTGTCGCTGGGCCATGTTCGCTCCCACCCGCCAAGGATGTAAGCAACCAGAGGGAGCAGGGTCACTTGTACAGTTATATTGTCGTAGCTCCAGGAGCAGATGTTGCCGTCTGTGCACGCCGTTACGTTGACCAGCACGTTATAATCCCAATAAGGTCTAAGTGCTCCTGCACTAATGGTCACGGCGGAGGATTGAGTATCACTGTCAAAGCCAGCGAGCTGTCGAGTTGTCTCTTTCCATGAATAGGAGATTCTCGTCATGGGCGCACTGCTACAAGGGTTGGATTTAACGATTACAGGCAGGTCAAGCTGCTCGTATTGCTCCTGACTGACTAAGAATGGGCTGTCCACTTGGACAAGAGGCAGGGTTGCGTTCAACTTGTTCACGACAGCTGCGGATGCTACACTAAACAGTCTGAAGAAGTTTATGGTTTTCAGTCGGAAGACAAAGTCTCCTTGTGGCGGCAGCTCCTTGGGTCGGAACACAATTCTAGGTCCTCGAGACCTCCGGACTTTCCTGAAGAACTCAAACCCGATGGGGTCGAAGAAGGTGACACCAATGCCCCTGACTCGCCACCGATACTGGAGCGGCTGACCAAGACCTCCTTTTGAGACTGTACCATCAACAGTCAATGGCTGGCAAGCCCCAACTCGACTCCCTCGCGGATAGACCTTTGCCCATGGTCTCCGTGGCGATTCAGGCATCTTGGGAAGCAGATCCATCATCCCTAGGATGACGGCTCCTTGCTTCAAATATACTGTCACCCCCTGTTTGATTGTCAGCAGCGTACCAGGGAAGACTGAGTGATTGCTGCCAAGAATGATGTGGAACTCTTTTACTGTTCTCCACTCACATAAGGCGCCCTTGCCAAGAAGTGCAACCGTGGCCACAGTGAGAAGTTCGTTGCAATCCCTGGTATATCCTGGAGACCCCTTCAGTTCCATACCGCGCATGTTCGTAGCAGCTTCGTACCTAGTGACGAGTTTCCTCCCGTTGTTTGTGTACTGCATGACAATCATTGGGTATGGATAGATGAATATATCTGACAACGTGGACACCTGAACTTCCTGACCGCCAATCTCTGTCGCAACGATCGTCAGATTGTCCGATGAGCCTTTACCAGCTGAGGAGTAATAGTAAATCTGTGTCAAGAACTCGTCGATGTCATCCACATCACCAGCAGTCGATAGAAACGGCGTAGCGCTGTCAATGATAGCCTTGCTGTCGAACTTGACCGAAGAAAGCTTGCCAACCTCAACCTGCAGAGTGAGAGTGTACCCTGTCACGTTGTACTCAAATGCGTCTGGATCATCAAAGCCAAGTCCAACAAGACGTGCAGTACGCCTGAAGATGCCGTGTTCTCGGGGAGCCATGATGCGTGGTGGGTCGTTGACAGGTATGACGGTCAGGGTGACCCGACCCACATTCGAGTAAATGTCGAACTGGTTTTGGGCGCGATACGTGAAACCGTCCAACAATTCCAGGGATGGGCCAGAGTTCCAGTCTTCTTCGGGCAAGTACCTGACAACAAGCCGGAAGTCGTCATCCGGGAGGACAAACAGTGGGGCACTGAGCGCCCCGTTCAATGTTCCATGTTCTGGAAACTCAAGGATTTCCACCACGAGGTAATCCCCTGCCTCGTCCCTAACATCCAGCACGATGTCAATGGGTGTGTCTTCCAATCCTGATTCCCATTGATCCACATTGGCGTAGGGGATGTTTCGGCTGGTCACCATGTAGACATTGACCTGAGCTGGGGCAGACACAGCTCTCGCATCAGTCACCGTGTACGAGAATGTGTCAAATGGAGGAAGGAGACCGCCCCAGCGAGACCATGACCTGCTTCGCGGCTGCTGGTCGATGGTAAAGTTGGTGACAGTGTAGAGCAACATCGTTGCCCACAAAGGACGAGGAGCCTTGCGGAATCGCCTCCCTCGCACAAAACCCTTGGCCTTGAGCCCTCCAATCGTATCGTTTGGCGCTAGGGAGTAGCCTGTGAAATCCGTGGCGTCAAGGGCTTCAAGAAGCGAGCGGCCGGTTACTGCTTGTTCGGCTGCAGCCCACCACTGCTGGAGAGACCAGTCCTCCCACACCTCGGCCCGCCCTTCCTCAAAGGTTGGTCCATCCAATGACGTATCATTGTACTCAACCCCTTTGCCGAACCGGAAGATCTCATGTATCATTCCCTTCTTGGGCATCTGCAAGAGAACATAGTTGATTCCAGCTTTTCGTTTGACCGCCATGAGCTGTGCTAGGCCCCAGTGGATGACATTCTTCTGCAGCTTGATTCTGGCCGTCAGATTAACACTTGAAGAAACCCAAGGGTTATTCCCTCGACATGTTGATGTGACGATCCTATCCGACCGCTTAGTGCCAACAACTTGTCCAGCAAATGGGCTCACTTCATCTCCTTCTGACTCATCCAGTTTCCACTGCCCGATGAGCTTCAGACCAGGGTCTGAAGCATTGGGTGTTCTTCGCCCAAGCCAATCCAATACTATTTTCCCCTCATCAAGCTCTTTCCCATAGAGACGCAGCTCATCAATTGTTCCTTTGAAGATGGATGGACGGGACGCAGTATAATCAGCCCCAATTGTGATCCTGTCTGTTACGTTCTTTGGATTCACACTCGTCCAGTCCACTGTGGAGCGGCCCCTCCCAACCAACCTTCCATCCACATATAGGCTGGCCATTCCCAGTTCTGCATTGTAGGTCCCAATCACCCTATGCCATACCCGATCGGCATGGCTTTGTGTGCTTACTGCAGCAACCATGGCATCCCATGTGCTATCGAGGCCTACGTAGAACCCAAGCTTGGATTCCGGAGACCATTGGAGGGAGAACGACCCTACGTCATCCTCATGTCCACCATACATACCACCCTTGCTGATGAGCACGCCTGTCGTGTTGTGCACATCAAAAGCCACAAAGAACAATTCCACAGAGAAAGAGCCATTCGGGTAGTTCAAGCGATCGAGGACCAAGTGGAGGTCCCCACAGCCAAACTTGAGGGCATACCCCCCGTGCCCGGCAACTGGAGCCTCCACAACGACCGAGCTGTCTGCTCCTCCGGGACCTCCTTCTCCCTCCTTGAGGTGGTCAAAGGATTCATCGTACGAGACGTTCATGACGAGGTCAGTTAGCGGTTGACGGTGCATTACCCATCGCACCTCTGTCGTGTTCAAAGTGTAGTCCCAAACTCTGACGTTGTCGAGTTCAGCTGTGAATCCGGGAATGGTTGTCAGCCCTAGACGTACATAACTCTCTGAGAACCGAAGAAGCTCGCCAGGGTTGGGTAGACGGGCGCATTGCGTGAGCGACATGGGCACATCCATCCGACCATCATAGTAGAATGTCAGCACCTGTTCGTCACCAGACCAGGATACGGCTACGTGATGCCACTGATCATCAAGAAGATCGAAGCTTTTGGGTATAGTCCCACTATTCAGGGCAGGGGAAACGCTTGGGTCGACTGCACCTGCCTCTGTGCAACCAAACTGCTGCAGGTAAGTTCCCCATACATACTCAGGACGTCCCCATGGAACCCCTATGACCTCTGGTAGCGTCCGCGGTCCCATGCCTGGTCTAATACGCAGGCTTGGAGGAATACGGCAAGTACCTTCACCCTCTTCAAATTGAGGATACTCGCCAGCCATAGCAATTACCACTGCCTCTGATCCGTTCACGATAGTCAATGTTGTGTTCTGCCTCGCAACTGCATCCCTAAGGGAAGAACTCACAGGTCGTATGCGGAAGGGTATTTGATTGGCCTGCTGTTGCTGCTGCTGCTGCTGGGATACGGTGGATATGGTCACAGCAGAACTCGCTTTCTGTTCTGCTTTCCCAGCTGGGAGATACAGCTGATCTTCATCTGTTATAGCCGCAGGAAGGAAGTGCTGAGAAGCTGCTGCTTTCGCTGCTTTGGCAATATAAAAATTTTCAGGGTGATAATAGGAAAGGTAACTGGTGTTTCGTGGGTAATGAATCCAATACTCCAGAGTGTAATTGTTTAATTTGCCCGCAATGGAAATCATCGCTGGGTCAATAAAGTTATTGTTCTTAAACCAGCCGGCCAAGAAGGGTATCACGGTGACGGTAATCTCTATGGGTCCTGTAAAGCCGATTCCGTCTGTGAGCCAGAACTCCACCACATCGTACTTGTAACCCCTGGCATTAATGTTCGGCCGGTACATGACCAGCCCATCAGGATGATCGATAATGGCAGGAAGGCTGGTGATCTGGTTGCCCATCCCTCCATCATCGTTGACTTGGAAGAGTTGCGCACCGACAGGGAGTACGCGAACCAGTAGCTGAGGTCGTTGGAGAGGCCCGTCAACGTCTGTTCCTACAACTTGGAGAATGGTCATTGTGTTCATCATCATGGACACATTTGTGGACCGATAGGCCACCGTTGGCAGATCATTGACTGGGTCGACGACAATCGTTACCCGCACAGGAAGCGACCGCCTTGCGGTGGATATCTCTGCTACCTGATACCAAAACCGATCTGGTCCATAATAATCCTTCTCTGGAATATAGACCACATATGACTTTTTGTTCACCAAACCAACTGGAACCATGGTGATGGGTACAGCAGCAGTCGGACCAAATTCTGCTATGTCAAACAAGGTCCCATGCCGCGGTAAGGATAAAATAATTCCCATGTCAGAGGTGCCACCAAGACCCACCCCGAGCTTGATCCGTTTGGGGTTGTCTTCCTGGAGCCTCACCCAGTCCCCAACTGGTGCACCTGACAAGACCCAGATGGGAAGTTTGTCTCCTGCAGACCTGTCAGCAGCAGTTAGCTTAGCGTCAGAACGACCGGTTGACGAGTCAGCTGCTACATCTCCATCAGCTTCATTGAAGCGCCAGAGACCCATCAAGCCTGGCTCGTTTCCTACAGGAGAGCTCCAACCGGAACGATCTACATCTTTCATTGTTCCATTGAGTAAGCCGAGCCTCCAAATGCGAACCTCGTCAATCACCCCCTGGAAGGATCCATTTGCCGAGCCACCTCCACCGATCTCGAGGTCTTGTCCAGGTGGGTCTGATACGACCCGAGACGTGAATATGGCCTGAAGATCCCAAACGCTTACTTCCTTTCCATCCAAGAGAACTGCTAGTGTGCCGTTCCATGAACAAGATACAAAGTGCCATCTGTTATCCGTGGGATATGGGGCTGTGCCGTTAATGGTCACTCCATCTGTGCGGAGGAGGGAAAATACCAGGTTTCCTCCCGACTCCGCTTTGATCGAGAACCAACGTGACCTGAGGAAGGTCCCGCCTGATGCACCGAATGGCACCTTGATCCATGCCTCGAGTATGAATGCCTCCGCTTGAGAGACAGATTTCCAGCCTTTGACGACTACCTTCTCGCCTTGGCCTGGGAACAGGATTGCAAATCCAGCATTGCCTGCTGGCTTGGGATGGAACAAACCGAGTGGCATCAGCCCCCTGAATTTGACGATCCCAGACTCACTCAGCGCGGGGGCATGATATTTGTCGGTTACTGCAAAGTGAAACCAACCCGTGTGACCATCACGTGCCGAACCCTCATCACCCTCATCCGGAGAAAACATATAGTCACCGTCAATGACCACCGGGCTGTACAGAACTCGCTGGGGTATCCAAGGTGAGTGTAGTGGCCATGGGACTCTGTCTATGTGCATTCCACGGTCGTCACCCCTCTCACTCGCCGACTCATAAAGGGAGCCCGCTGTTGGGAGCTTTACTATGGTCACCACAGGGTTATCTCCCTCCTTGTCGAAGACAGGCAATTCAATTGGAATATCATCGTACCCGACGACATCAATTTCAGTGAGATTGTTTATGATATATGGCATGTGATTGACTTGCTTGACAATGATTCCAATGCCATCCTCATTTGAGACTTCTCCTCCCACAGATGCGAGGACATACTTCACAGTCTCTCGCTTCACCTCCCCTGTGTAGCGCCTTACTCCTTTTGTGCTTGTCTGCAGCAGCCCAGGCCGGTACGTAATCTGCCAGTCAGATTGGTTCAGCATGTATGGCACGTAGGCAATGCAGTTACGCGTTGAGTATTTCCCACCGGCAAACAGCTGCCCTTGTGAGGGAAGGCCCGTAATGATAGCCATCTCTGCATCCCCACTAATCTTCATGGTGACCTCCTCCATCTCGTTCACCACTTGAGCATTCCACCACCAGGATGCTGACCCGATGGGAACATCTGAGATGACAAGCGCTGGTTTGCCTACAATGGAGGCCGCCCAGTTCCGTCCTGTTGAATCAGCAATCGTAACTGGCCCATTCACTCGTCCTCCTCCTGCTGCTCCATCCTCTGCTCCTCCTATCAGGGTTCTCATGTTGAATCTCCAATTCCCGAGAAGCTGCCCCCGGAAAGCGGTTGCGTTGGACGTCTTGGCATCGTAGGGTCCCATCACATCATAGCTGTTTTCGTTGTACCAGCTGATCAAGGGCCTCACAAACTGACGGATGGATGTAAGAAATGCGACTGGCAGTGGTGCACTTAGAATGGCAATCTCATCAACCTCACCTCGCCAGTAGCTTGAGCTCGGCTCCTGCAACCTCCTCTGTGCACTCCGTCTTGAGGAGCTGCTGCTGTTGCTCCTTCTGACGGCCACCAGCAGACTACTGAAAACATCACCATTACTGCCACCCCCACCACCATCACTGCAGGCATCTTTGCCGAGGCTCTTCCTCAGTTCAGTAGGATGCAACACCTCCAATGCTGACTTGCCACGTGAAAGGCTATCCCCTGAACCAAGAGCCTCTTCCCATCTTCCGACCACAATGTTTCCACCATACTCCCCAAGCGATCCATACACCTGAGCCGAGCCAACGACCATCCAGTCAACGTACATCCTGAATGTTGACCAGCCAAGTCCTTGACCTTTGCGGGGCCCCATAGTAATTGCTATTCGGCGCCAGTTGACATTCTGGGCGCTGTGATCGCTTTCAAATCTCCTTTTGACGATTTGCCCGGCTTTGGTAATGTAGGCGAAAGCGAGAACAAGCCGACCCTTTCCCTCTGTTGACAACTCGTAGAACAGTCTTGCTCTACCAAAGCTCAGCACTGTTGCTCCATTGGACTGCGGGCCGATGTTTCTGATCCACAAGTGGATTGTATACCCTTTCCCATCATCGCGTGGCAAGAATCCACTCGCCGGCAGCATGAAATTTTCAAACCGCAGCGAGTCCATAGTTCCATCCAGACAGAGCGCAAAGCTGCGCTCCCCAGCTCGAGGTGGCAAGCGTGGCGTATACTCCAGCGGCATCTTGTTGTTCAGCACCATGATGGTGACCAGTGCTGATGTCGGGTACACTGGCGGGCCTCCAGCAGCGGAGATCAACTGCTCACCAGTGTCTTCTCCCACAGAGGCAGTTTGTACCGTTGTTTGGTTTGTCTGGTTCTTCTGCACCCAGGTTCCATTGTGTGGGAATTGCTGTTGTTTTCTGAGCATTGTTTGGTTCGTCGGCTGCTTCTGCAACCAGGTCCCATTATGTTGCATTTGTTGTTCTTTTCCGGTCCTCCTCCAGCTTTCTCCTCCACCGTGGTTTCGCTTTGCCTCTGAGTCATCCACCACTTGGAACATGAAGCTGGTCACGTAATTCATGACAGAGCCTTTTCCATAGACATTCAGAGTCCCTGATGGCTCCAAGCCCCGCTGCGGGAAGTACAAGAACGCAAGTGGTCGCTCTGGCCTTCCGTCGTGCCCAACTCGCACCTTATATGCTGCTGGGAGGTAAGATGTTCCTGTGACGGGGTTCCAACCCAAGGGAGTCGTAGGGCGACCCAACTCATCTGTCTCGTACAAGACACCGTAGTCTGGAACGTACAAGATTCTGACGGTAAGAATATCCCCCGCGTCCGGGTCAGTCACTGGAAGCTCTACTCTCACCGGCGTCAGAGGGTCAGTTAAAAAAAAAGATGACTCTGGCTTTGGAGGCATGTTCTCTCTTATGACATCAAATACCACATTCACTGCTGGCCACAGATGGTAAACAGTACCACGTTGCCCGGGTTTTCCCTCTGGCCCTTGTGGGCGGCCATATGATAGCCCCAAGGATGCGTACCTCAGCCCCCACTCATCGGGGCCTGTTGAAGGCTTGAAAAGAGTTTGACCATTTGGGAGCTGGAATGGGACTCCAAGATCATTGGAGTAACCAATCACTATTCCTCGCTCAGGAGCACGGATCATGTAAACACCAAGGCCTGATGTGCGCTCATCCATAGGTGGCACAGCGACATCTCCATACCTTCCCTTCACTAGGGCAGTTTCTCCCAGCAAATCCACCGGTGATGGCAGCTGACCACTGGGAGATGGGAGGATGTTTCGACCAAAAGAGACCTGATCCCAACACCAGCTCCCTCGCATGTACACACATCTTGTCATGACCTGCAGTGCAATGGCCCTGATGGGGGCATGGGAAGGAACCAACCTTGGCCATCCATCCCCAAGGTAGACTCCGTGAGCCTTTCTTGCTGTGTCCCACACTCTTGCTTCTCCATATCCCAATGGTCCAGGAGCGCGTATCTCCCTGTCAAATTGATAATAAAGCTCCAGTGTGTCGTCTGAAGAGCTGCTGCTACTTCCCATGCACCAGCTGCTGTAGTTCCCAATCTCCTCTTCACTACGCGCTCTGCTCCACACCCGCACTTCATCGATCACCCCAAAGAAAAAACTCTTATCCTTGTCTGTGCCATCGCCTCCAATGAACACACCCCACATGTCTGCTTCTCTGAACGTCAGCCTCGGGAATGGCGATGACTGCGGGCCTATTGGAGAATAGGTCCCACGAGGAGCTATGTCCGACTGCGCTGACGTGCTCAAAACCTGAAGCTGTCTTCCCACAGAACTGGAACCAGAACCCTCTTGAACCTCTTCACTGTTACTCGCAGTTGCTATTCCGTCTCCTCCAGCCCCATCACTATTGTGTCCTCGAGGACGGGGCTTCACACTTTTCCTGGTGAGCAGCTTGCTGTTGCCTGTTCCAATGCCTTCGAGCAAGTCAAAGAAGGATTTGTCTTCATCTTCTTCAGGGAATGAACGGTAAGTCATGCTGTCATTTCCCAGCTTTGAGAGCTGGTCCAGGAAAAGCAGCAAGTCCATATGATCGTTTTGGGGAGAGTCGCTTGAAGACAATGTGAAACCAACCTCACGACCGCTTGCTGACTGACTGGTTGATGCATCTCCTGCTTGGTGATGGCTTTCTGTATCAGAGGTCTCATCTTCGTCCTCTGGCATTCCCACCTGTTCTGCCACGGAGAGACTGCTGATCAGTGCACTTGATCCCACTCTCGACCCCTCTACGCTGTATGTTGAATTGCCCCTTAATCTTCCATCAATGAACAAGGAAGCTCTTTGGGATGTAACGTTCCATGTTGCAGCCACATGGTGCCATTTGAAATCCTCCACATCACAGGGTGTCTCTTCACCACAGCTGGCAACCACTCTTTCTCTGTTCCTCCCTTCCACTATAAATGTCAGTCCTTGCATCCCATTCCATCGAAGATAGAACCATGCTGGGCGAGCTAACAGAGTCCTTCCATCCATCTTCTTGTAAACTTGCTCCCGTGTAAATCCCTGATAGCCTTCAACGCGAACCCATAGTTCCACTGTGAATGATCCTGTCAGCTTGTGAGGGCTGATTAGGGTCATCACCAGGTCACTGCGCTGTGTTAGCCATGCATGGCCGGCTAGAACCCTACCTACATTATCTGATGGCTTTATCCTTGGCGGGGGAAACAAAGACGCAGTGTCGCCTGTGGGTTCCTTTGCCTCCATGCCAGGATGTGTGTTACTTGCATTGACCACAAACACATCCATTGTGCCGTTGTTCAGAACTTTGCCACCATCAGCCATCGAACCATACGTGAAACTGGTACTGTACAGTCGGTCAGAAGGAGGAGCAGATGATGGTCGGTTCAAGTAGGAAGGCATATCGGTAGCATTCAACTGATCTACATGAGGATCGAAGAGTTCTAGGAAGTTGAGGCTTGAGTTTTCCAGCTCATCGAAGATTGCGTCAAACAAACCTGGACCTTCACTCGTAGGAGGGGGTGGTGTGTCTGCCAGCATCATCCACGCAAGTTGTGCATAACCCACTTGGAGGTTGGTGGCAGCCTTCTCAAGAAGAGATCTGCCCACATGGTGGTAAGAGGAATGATAGGAACCAAGTGCGGGACAGGAAGCGGGTGTAGTGCGCGGGTAGGTGAAGACCCGGTCAGAACCTCGTGATGAGGAGTAGAACGTAGAGGAGAGCAACGTCTCCAATGTGTCCGACGAGCCCGATTTGATGGGCCATTGCCCAAGGGTTGTGGATGTGCCCATGGTCCAGATGGATGGTGACAACGGGAATGCCTGCGGAGCAAGGAAAGGACTTCTACCTGCGGCACACAAGGATTCACCATGCAGTGATGCATCCATCGCCAAAGTCGCTGATCGGCGGGATGAGTGTAACATGTTGAACCCTGCTCCATGAACCTTGGAGCGAGGGGGCGTACGGAGAATGTTGTTCTTGCAGTGGCCAGCTGAAGATTCTTGAACCGCTCCACCACGGGAATCAAGGACCCTGCTGCAGCGGCGTACTGCTCCAGTCGAGTTCACATTGCTGGCCTTGTCATTGAGAAGACGGCGTGGATAGCCCATCAGCTCTTGACTGCCTCCTTCGCTTTCTCCGCGCTGCCTCAATCCTCGAGTGCTTTCTGAGTGTGAATCTACAACCATCATTGGTTGACCCTCTCCCCACCTCGTCGTGCTTGCTGTAGTGGTGGTGGCATTCCAAGGAGTAGACGTTTCGTGGCCTCCCTTCCCCCCTTCAAACAAGCCCAATGCTGAGCCAAACAGCTGCTCACTCCAGCTACCATGCCAAGCTCCTGTTGGCTTAGCGTTTTTTTTGTCATTTTCTGAGTTGTTGTCGCGGCTCTTCGATTTCAGATAACCTTCCGAAACCACTTCGGTCTGTTCCACGGGAAACTTTTTTCTCCCGATCACGTCGGTGTTCGGAGGGTAAGCTGGTTGGTTACCAGGGGAAAGTGTGGGCGACATTTCTGACCCTACTGCTGAGTTGCTTGGGGTATGTTGAAGTGAAGGATCGATGAACCCCAGGAGACCCCCAGTGGGTGGTGGTGGTGGTGGAGGCAACCCCTGTGGTTTGGGTGGAGATGGAACCCACACGAAACTCCCATCGTCATTGATGTGTGTGCCTCCTTCGTCATTTAGCGGAGTAAAAGTCGCGTTCCCTCCCCAGAAGGGGCGTTGGGCTTGCAAGGAAGGGAGACCAAGCTCAGCAAGCCAATCGTACTCAGGTACGTAGACAACAGTCCCAACAACAAGGCCAATACTTTTCTCAAACGTACCTTTTGTGACATCACCAACTCTGAGCCTGTGTTGGAGCGCTGGTACAGTCCGGTTGTCCGGTCCAAACGAGTCATAGAGGGTTCCTTTCTCTGGAAGATCATGAATTTGGAAGAGTATGGGGCGGCGATCCACTCCCTGCATGGAGTCTTCGTCATACGCGAACAGATTGCCGTAGCCCCAGGAGTTCAGAGGGGCAGACATCCAAGTTTGTCCGTCAACTATGGCTGTCACTGAGTCGACACGCTCTCGCCATACCTCCAGCTTGACACATGTTTCTGCTGAAAACACCAATCCTGTTGAGACTGGTTGTTCCCCTTCGACACCTTCAAGAGCCCTCCTTGGGTCAACTGTTGCCTCGCCTCCGATGCAGTAGCAGAAAGCGGTGTTGACATCTCCAAACTTGTCATTGTGGAACTGGACTGTGCTTCCTGCTAGCTTCCATGGAGTGTATATCAACTTGTCTAGCGACTGGTCATCCACCAACCATCCTTTGGGAGGCAGCTTTGTGATATAGATACTGGCTGTTACTGGGAATCCATACAACTGAAAGCTGACGGGCCTCTGCGAGTCCCGACTGTACACCCTGTGGTCGACAATGGGAGCATGAGAAACTACCAGCCGTGGATTTCCAACCGTTTTCACCCCCTTGAATTTGAGCCAGCTGACGTCATTGAAAGTGACCGTGACGCTAGGAACACTTGCTCGCATGCCATAGAGATGACTTTTCATTGTCCTCTGGATGGTTTCAGGCGAAAGAGTCGCAGCAGAAAGACGAAGCTCATCCACAAGCCCAGTAAAGAAGGAGTCCCGATTTCCCTTCAAGGAACCGACATATAGCTCCTCGATATGAACCCCAGCATCTAAACCCACATCTTCCTCGCCAACCAAATGCCCGTCAATGACCAAGAACACCACATCATTGCCAATCCCGAAGGCTAAGTGGTGCCAGCCCCTGTCCGAAATCGAATAGCTCCCGCTGTCTAGCGAGAAGCTCTCCCTTCCTTCCAAAGTCATGGTCAACATGGCTCTTCCACCTTGTCCAAAATGGAGTGCGAAACTTTGCTCGTTCGCAATCGCAAACGCAAGGATTGTGCTGGACTCCGCTGGTTCCCGGCTTCCTGTCACTCTCGCCCAAAGCTCCACCGTGAACTTTGGCATCCTCCTTCCCACTTTGATCTCCACGTAAGCAGATCCAGTCAGTGAGAGAGAGCGACCTGCAGGGGCAGATGAAAGCTGACCCCAACCAACCATATTTCCAGCCTCTAGCTCTGGCGGGATGCTTACATTCAGAGCTACCCAAGACTCGTCAGAAATCAGACGAGCGTCCTTCACGGCGTAGGCAAAAATATCTGAGTAAGGTGGTTGCGGCTCACCGATTGCTGCTGATATTTCAAACGAACCGGCAATAGAATCGTCATAGACGGGGTTCTGGATGTCGTCTGAGAGCACTCGACTGCTGTGGATTCCCAAGAGAGCCTCTGCTTCAGCTCTAGATATGGATGCCGCTGCAACCTGATTCAGTTGACCCTGCAACGCTGGAAGTGGAGATTGAGGGGCATATACAACTCGGTGATGCTTGTCAGTGACAGGTGTCATTGGCTTCGTGATTAGGTCGCCTTGTTGATTCCAGGATTCCTCTGAGTACTGGAACACATCACCAGAGAATGGCAGTGTGGTGATAACGTAGGTGATATGCGGGTCGTCGGCCGGCACATCCAATGGCCCCGGGAGGGTAATCACCCGAGGAGTCTCCCCATAGACCTGGGCAACCAGTGGGTCTGATCGAGAGGTGTGGGCCATCGGTGGTCTCACACCTACCCTTTGCACATCAATCACAAAAGGAAGCAGGTCGGAAGTGTACTCCCTGTCGGCAACTTGAAAGCCAATCACGGCCTGTCCACGGAAGTATGGAGAGCCTGAGAACAAGACCTTTCCCTTTGGATTAGACAATGTGTATGGAAGACGATGATTGATTGCACCTCCCCGGACAGGTTCGCCATTGGCATCAATGTCTATGAGCATGCCCGAGTCCAATGGATAGATGTTGTGTATGGTGAAGTCCAAAGGGTCAGTGTCAATATCTGCAGCAGGCAGGGAGAGAGTGAAATTGGAGGCAGGGTCAACTTGCATGACAGGGCTGTCAACAGGTGCCGAGGAGAAGACCCACGAGGCAGAGGAGCCAAGGATGGCCCGCCTCTTACCATCCAAACTTGCAATGTCCTGTGTGAAGTCACCCTCTCCTTCGTCCATGGGCAAGTACACGAACATGCAACCTGCCAGTTCATCGTCCCTGAGGTTGCGATACCGATCTTTCATGTCAGATAAGTAGCGGACAAATGGGAAGACCCGGAACTCGTCAATGGTACCCTTGAAACCTGCTGGAACTGCGGCACTTGTGCCCAAAAGGACAGTCATGTCCTCGTACATCCTGTAACCCTTGGAATCCGCTAGAGCCTCTGCCACCATCTCGCCATCAAGGAACAACCGAAGGAGATAGTACCCTGGATGGGGACTAGGAACATTGATCTGGGGATTGTGGTATGATATAACAGCAGCTATGTAGTGCCAAACTCCGTGCTCATAAGAGTGGTATGCTGCCGTCCTCGACCCATCGATCTCTAGGGCAAGACCAACGACGTTGTCCCAATAGACAGAGAACCGTCCGACGCTCATCACTCCCATGGAGACCCCAGTGGGAACGGAACTCTTCACCCAGGCCTCAAAGGAGAGGCCAACAACTTGAGCTGGTGGGGTCCACTCAGTGACATTCAGGATAGCCACCCCATCAGGAGTTGCACCATCAAACTGGAGGGCCCAGCCTGCTGTTGCTCTTCCTGGCTTCATTGCCTGCAAGGGGCCCAGCCGTTGGTTAAGCAACTGCATCGCCCTGGTAGTCAAACTAGCAACAGGGGCATGAAGCTGGACAACTTTGACAGCAGTCTCGCCACTGGTCTCCCCTTCGATAATTTCCCGGCCATAATTGAACGTCCAGGTCGCAACTAGGTGGCGTTCAGCCACAGCGTTGGCACGCACAGGCTGATTACGCTTCCACATATCTTCGGCAATCTCCAACGCATTCAGGCCTCGGCTGTAAACCTTGACCTCGTCCAACTTGCCAGGAAAGTAGCACTCTTCGCCAGCATTGGTGCTCCCATTGGATCCAAGATAAAAGGTAGAGGCATCAGGGGGCTGCCACACGTGCTTATCGGGGAGTTGTGCCTGAGTTGCCACCACCATTCCATCGACAAAGAACTGCTTCAGCCCACCAATGGCAGACCCTACAACAGCGATGTGATGCCACCGTTCTGGTGTGAGAGTAGGCATCCCGGGTGTGTCCACAACAGAGATGGTCTTGGGCCAAAGCCGTAGGTTGTTTACTATAAACGACTGGGGATCTCCTGTCTCAGGCGATTCATGGCGGAACATCGCCTGTGTCACGGCAGAGCCCACAAAGCACCACCATCTGCCCCTAGACCGTGGTCCCAGTTGCTTCAACCTCACCCACGCCAACACTGTGAACTCCTCTTCCATGAGGAGGCTCCTAGACCTGGGGACAGCAAGCAGCCCCATCCCTCCCATGTCAAGAACCCCTCGTCCTGCAACATTCAGCACCACCTCCACCACCTTGCCTGGAAAATGAAATGAAGGGTGCCCATCAGAGATTACAGCAAAGTGGAAGGCAGCAAATGGCCAACCAAAACTGTTCGGAGGAGCAATGTAGTGGACAAAGGATCCATTAACGTCAATGGGCACAGATTCAATCCGTGTTCCATTGTCAAAGTGCAGCATCCCTGCATCCGGTAAGGTGATGAGTCGAAAGGTTAAAGCCAGACTTGCAGTGCTGAAGGTTGCAGCGGACAGGTCGATCCTTGCTCGTTGATAGTCCTGCACAGTCACGTTCAGGGGATTCATGATCATTATCCGTACTGCCGGAACGACCTTGATGATAACGTTTACGGGTGTCGATCGCCGTCTTCCCTGCGTAACTATGTAGCTAAATGACGTGTAAACACCACCACCGCTGTCGGTATTCGGCTCTGGCAGATACATGACCTTTCTGCTTGCCACCCATTCCCCGGCTTTGCTCAATATAGTCCACCTCTGTGCTCCCCCATAGCCAGGCTTTGTTCTGAGATAGAAAAGCTTCCCCCGGTGTGGCAAACTGATGACGAATGTGCGCACTGTTCCCGTGCCTTGAGGACCTTTCACAGAGCGCAGTTCAATCAATGCCCGCCCGCTCTCCTCTATCGTTATCACTTGATGGCGGATGGGGGCTGTTGACACCACTCGCTTTGCCGCGCCCACTCCCTCAAGGCCCAGGCTACCCATCTTCTGCCCGCTGACTGCATTCTCCAGTGCTGACCCCTGCCCCATTCCTTCGTCAAACCGGAATGATCCAACCAGTTGCCCATGGTATCGAATTTCCACCTCGTCAATCTGTCCATGAAACACTGAGGCTGGATCGAGGGAAGCGGTAGAGCCAACCACAACCAGGTCATCATAGTTGATGATCCAGCTCCCCTCTTTTCGCTCGGCACCAGCTCCGTCCACCGTACAGCATGTTCCCTCCTCCGGATCTACGCTTACCTCCATCCTCGCACTGTAAACGGCCCCATCTGCCCCGGTGACATTGATCCTCGCCTCCATCCCGTCCCACTCGGCATCCACATGGTGCCAAAGTCCGTCATTGAAGGGGAATTTTGTCCCTGCAATCACGTCTCCTGCAGCGAAATGCAGTCCAAGAGCCTTGCTCCAGGCAACCTTGAACGGACCCGCATCTATTAGAACCATGCCATGGTCAACAGATGTGCTAGATGCCCTGAACCATAGGGACACGCCGAAACGAAACAGCATGCCACTCCCAGCAATCACGTCAGATGCAGGGGCAGAGATGCTGCTCTTGTTGTTGGCATCCAGAAATTCTGTACCTCCTTCTGTTGCCGTGGCTGCTGCTGCAAGTTGCCACTTCGTGTCCGATATGTCTCTTGCTGTTGGGAATGATGACCGCAGCCAATGCATCACTTGAAGACCAGTGTGGTTCCCACTTGACCTGCCAATGTCAGTAATCCTAGTTGCATTCTTCAGTAGCATGGGACTTGATGGGGATTCCTTGACCTGGATGACAGCATCCTCATCATCATAGTTCTCAACCTTGTGGATCTTACTCGGTCCTTTTACAGACGATTCAGCCATCAGCCCTTGTACTGATCCGGCTTCTTTAACCTTGCTCGTTTCTGGCGAAGCTGCAGGAGATATAATATCGAAACCAGAAATGTTCAAGTTCAGATCGACAATTGCTGGACCCAGAAAGCTGTCGTATGTTGCTGAAATTCCCTGACTTACATCGCTGCCAGAGTTGATGGACGTCTGCAGGCCTAGTTGCACCGTCTCGCTCTTATTCGACATCAGTGGAATTTGAGAAGTCGAAAGCGAGGCTGAAACAGTGCCGTTATTGAGATTTTGCTCCCCCACGTGCTCCGCCTCATTTGCAATCCCACTGTTGACACTGCTTTTGCTGACATTAGGTCCGGCCAGATGCTCTGTTCCGGCGAGGGCAGGTGGTTTTCTGCCAGCACCCCCCTCAGTGCTGAGAGTGGATGAGGTAAAGACACCCCCACCCCCCAGTGCGGCCGGTGACACATTACCGGATGTGGTTGTAAGTTCGGGCACGATTATGGGAGCTCCAGAGCCAGAGTTAAGGCTGGAACTGTTACCAAATCCAAAGTCCCTGAGCGAACCCAAGACTGCGATCTGCCCTTTGCCATCGAAGGCAAGTGCATGACCTGCACCCCCTGCGATCGGCTTTTCCTCAAAGGACATGGAACGCATGCTCTGTAGCCCTCCCATTCCGTCTATGATGACCCTAGCCTCTCTGCTTTCATGGCCGCTCTCATCCTTGGCAGAGATCGAGAAACTGTCGATCAACGGACCATCATCATCATCCAACATTGGCACATAAACAATTTGATGCCGACCCCGGGCATCAGGCATCACTTCATACCCCGGTCGCTCGATAAGGCCTGATGGTTGGTTAGTCCCTTCAACCAAACCCTTGTACAAGAATCCCTTGGATGGAAGAGTCCTCAGTATAACACCCATGCCAGCTCGATCAACATCTGATGCCGGCAGATCAATTACCAGAGGCTCCTCGGAGTAGAAATTTGCAGTGAAGATTGCATCATGGACGTTTGGAGGGTCCGCTGCTGGGACCACCTGCAGCGTCACCACCTGTTCGCTTGACCCTTGGGCCCCATCCTCCACAGTGTAAGCAAAACTGTCGGCTCCAAAGAAGTCCCGGTGAGGGATATACCTAATGCCATTGGAGGCCTTGACTATGGTTCCTACATGAACCCTCGTGCGGGAAACACCATCTTCCAAGACCCCCCTCTTCGGTGTTCTTGTAACATTGACCCACGGCTGGCTGCCGTCAGGGGCAAAGATGGGGAGTTTGACCAGTGCACTTTGGTCTTCCATAACCATAACTACAGAACCAAAGCGGAACAGGGTAGACTCTATGCGTTGAGGTGTGGTTGAGATGATCCCTTTGTTACCCAACATGAAACTTGATACATCGACTTTGGCCGGAGGTTTCACCTCGCTCTCAAGAACAAAACCGATGGGTTCATTGAAACGCCAATATCCAACAATACCATCTCCATAATCAACCTGGGAGAATGGTCGCCGCTGGTGCACCATCGCATCTGTCATCTTCACTGCCGTCGCATTCTTCCACAGACTGAGCTCGTCCATATCCCCTTGGAAGTATGAGTGATCTTCCTGGATCTGAAGGGCATCCACCTCCTTTCCAATGCCTACTTCAGTTGTTGACTGCTGTTGAAGCAGCCGTCTCAGGCTGAGAGAAGTCTCCATTGAGCTGTTTCCCCCAGACGGATCTCTGCCAACGAGGACTGTTCCTGACACGTTTCCAGCATGACCATACGATCCTTGAAGCAGGAGGTTGCCAATCTCTCTGTATGGTGCAGTTGTGTTCTTTACAGCATCCTGACCATCAACGATCATCCTCGCCCTCTTCCCATCCCACTCAGCCGCCACGTAATGCCAATTTCCATCATTATAGGTTTCAAAAGACGGAACACACTCAGGACCTACGTTGAAGGTCAGCCCCATGACGCCATCCAAACCCAATCTGTATGGGCCTGCAGAGATCAATGTCATCGAAGCGTCATTGTTTGTGGCAGATGTGCGGAACCAGAGGCCAATGGACACAGCATTCTCGATTCCGTAGGCTTTCCAATCTCCCAGCTGTGCCTCATCATCGATGCCATCAAAGGACAACGCATTTCCTGGGTCTCCAACCACCATGCCACTTGCGGTTGTTGGGAGTGAGGTGTCATCCACAGTGATGATAATCCTCTGCTCTTCTGAGAAATACTCCCCATCCCAAACGACATAGCCGAAGCTGTCTGGGACGTTGGCTCGGGGCCGGTAACGAACTGCAAAGACATCATCCAATTCCAAGATCTCATCGGAAGTGCGATTCACAGTTCCCCCTGGCCTTGCAAATGACTCATTCTGCCGTAATGGGTACAACAACCCATTCAGCGGCAGATATGTCAGCCGTACGGAGACATCGTCACCATCCGGATCAGTAGCGTTCAGCACAATAATGATGTCTCTACTGGCGCTGCTGTTTAAGGCACTGGATTCAAGAGCGATGATGCATCCGGAGGACGAGGAAAGGGTAATGTTGGACCCATTGACATGTGCAGCACTGCCTTTGCAGCCAGTGGGTGGGTGGTTCACGTGTGTCACATTCACATGCACGGTGACAGGCGTTGAAGTTGACAAGATGTTCACCTCACCAGAACTCACATTATAAAATAGGAAGTTCTGGTAGAATCGGTGATATGCAACTGCCTCATGATTGGCCATGACATACTTAAAATTCCCATAACCATCTCCATTCGCATCGGGATCTGGTCCAGAGTTGTAGATGACGGAGTTTCGTGAGACAAAGCCAGGAATTGAGGTTATGTTTGTGCCACGTGTGCCATTCCCCTCGTCAACGTACAGCATTCCTGCCTTGGGCAAAGATGTGATCACTGCAACCACCTTCCTTTCGACGGTGTCTTCGGTCACTCCAGGAAGGGGAATGACTGTATCTTCTCCCTGGGGGGCGACGACGAGGTTGTGAAGAGGTACTGTGGATGGGACCCATTTGGGTTGTCCTCCTTCTGTCCCAGTTCCGTTCCCGAGCGCATCTCGAAACACCTTCCCGGATACTACATCTGTCAAAGTCAGACCTTGCGCCTCATTCATCGGAAAGTGCGCGACCAACCCTTCAGGAACAACCCCGTCAGCGTACGGCTGAGTCAGCGGCGAGCGCATGGTTCGGTCCACGTCTTCTTCCGTACGAAACACATGTTCCCAGATCCTTACTTCGTCAATCATACCCTGAAAATCAACATCCACTGTGCCATTATTGCCCCCAGCAGCAGCAGCAGCAGCAGCAACCTCAGCCTCAGCCTCAGCCTCAGCAGCAGCAACAGCAAGAACATCCGTCGTATTCATTGTGTCATTATCAGCCCCAGCAGCGCCAAGGACTAGGCTGGGTCTCATCCCCAGGTGCATCCCTTCCCAGCTGACATCCTCTACCTTGCCAACCTGCTGGGCATCCACCAGTAGCCCAAGAACGCTCCCATTCACGCTTATGCTTGCATAGTGCCAACCACCGTCATTGTAAGAGCTGAAAGTGCTCACTGCTCTGTTGTCTGTGCTATTGGCACCTTTCCACATCAACTGCAGCACTCCAGGACGAACCCAGCGCAGTGAGATGGGTCCAAGGGTCATCAGGGCCATACCGTAGCTGAAGATGGGTATGGAGGTTCGGAACCAAAATTCCGTGACCACAGGGACGTCCGGATGTAACTGACAGACACCGGGTAGAACCACCTGGTCCGCTTGGCCATCAAAGGCAAGGGCATAACCAGCAAAACCGGCAACAGGGACCACAACCATGCCAGGCACGGGCATGATGCGAATTGTGACCAGGCCTTCCCCAATGGAACCTTTGTTATCCTGAATGGCAAATACGAAAGAATCATAGGCACTGGATTCGTCAAAGGTGTTTGCCAAAGGAATGTAAACCACCCTGTGCTTCTTGTCCTTCACAGGAGTCCACGGCTTGTACAGACCATCCCCATCAGGTCTTCCCAATCTATCCGATTGGTGCAGGCTTCCCTTCCCTGGGAGCTGTCGTATCATAAATGTGAGGGTGTCCTCGACATCTTTGTCTCCTCCCTGCAGAGTGATGGTCAAAGGTTGGTTCTCCTCTCCCACCACCGTCATAGAAAGGGCTATCGGACCATCCAAGGCTGGCTTGATCTCAATCACCACCCCATGCCAATACGAAAAATCTCTTCCATCGTATGACATGTACTTGAAGATATCTATCCCTGAAGCATCTGGGTCTGGAACGTACACAACCGTCGAGCCTCGCACGGGTGCAGGACTACTCAGAATCTGCGGTCCAAGAATTTTCCCCTTGTTGAACCCTCGATAGAGCTTGCCCTTGAGTGGAAGTACTGCAATATAGAATGTAACACCCCCTTCATTATCCCCGCCATGCAAATGCACAATAACATTTCTCCCTCCTTCATCGTCTTCCGTCACAAATTTGCGATTCCCGAACAAATCCGTTGATGCCACGAACCAAGGGAAGTGATTTCTCTGGCCATCGGAGTAGCCTGCCCCGTTGAGTTTGCCGAGATGCCCATCGTTTCGCATCCGTGTTTTGTCGAACACAAATGGTGCGGTTGCCTCACCCTCGTTGCATGGCAGATATACAAGCAGCCCCTCCTCTGTTCCCAAGACATCCTGGTCCATTCTCCAAAGGAGGAACACCTCCATCCAGACCAGTTCCTTGGACCAGATGCGGATCTCGTCGACATAACCGGAAAAGGCAGAACCCAGGTCCGCATCCTCATTGGCACCAACCACAATTCCACTATTTGTGGGCAGCATAATGGCATCAATTGTTGGCTTCTCGTTGAGCAGAGACTCTGCCACCAATCGAGCATCTACATACATCCTTGTCGTTCCATTCAAACCGTACGTTGCAACCACATGGTGCCATAACTTGTCATCCCACATCACTCCAGAATGTACTGACACATTGCCTTCAGTAGTCATGACCCTGAATGATAGGCCATGACCACCAGCCCAACCCAGCCAGAAGGAACCCTTGCGCTCGACCAGTGTCACAAATGTGCCAGTTTGCCCCCGAACCTTGAACCGAACGTCCACTGAGATGGCCTTGAACTCATCCAGGGTACTCTGCAAAGCAACCAAGTACACCACAAGCTTATCAGCACATTTTTCATTTATTGTTTTGAATGGGTAATCTTACTAGAGAAATCGCGAGAAATCGCATAAACAATGTAATTCGGAGTTTTACATGTCATGAAACAAATGACATTGTAGCAAGGCGCCACCTACGTCTTCACAGTCCTACCCCGTTTCACTCAGACTGCTTCTCAAGCGTTCCCTCGACTGCTCTTTAAGTACTTGAGAATACTACTGCGTAGGAAAGATCTCAAGCAAACGTTTGCCTCATTTCCCGCCTATTTTCAGACTTGTTTCCTGCAGACCAGTTCTAGGTCTCGACTTATTTATTAAATTATCGAAAAGACTATAAAAACATACGAAAAGAAGTAAGAGCAAAAAATATTTCCAGTCCCTACAGATAGCCTCTGCGTTCGGATATCTGTCTGAGACTTGAGTACCTGCTATATCCTGCCGTTAGTTGCAGGGATACGTCATTAGTCGCGACGGCGGCTACGCGTCAAAAAAAAACTTGCATGCAAGGTCGATATCGAGTCTTGTCCAGTGTGCTGCTTTTTCTCCCTCTTTCCTCACAGGGTCAACTCAGCATTTCCTTTCGCAGCGCTTCCCGCCAGATTTTGGTCATACTCCGAACCGCCTTCATTCAGAGTCGCTTTTCACCCCTTCAGACCCTCCTTGTGCCTCCACCCGCTGTCCATCTGTACTGTACCCCGTATAGTTGCCCAAGGTGTGAACCTAGCTCTCCCCACGTAATCTTTACTAATTTCAAGAATTTCTCCATTTGTGTGCGTCAAACATCCTCCTCTGTTGTTAGCTTGCTCTATCATCCTGTGCTGGGCTTTCCTGAGGTTGTCAACAACGGTAGCTATCTCTTTCTCGTGTTGTATCGCAAACTCTTGTGTACCGGGCGATAGCCTCTGAATCTGATCCCAGTTAAATCCCTCGAACAGCCTACGCGGCTTGAAGGACTTGTGTAGTTCGTTGGGAGTGCGACACGTAGATAAATGCACGCTATTATTGTAGGCACTGGCTACCTTTGGGAGCATCTCATCCCAGTTGATCTGATCGGGCCTAATGTACATTCTAAGAACTTGTTGCAGGAGCTTGTTCATCTGTTCAGTCTGGCCGTTAGTCTCAGGATGACGACCAGATGACATCAGCAACTTTGAGCCATAAAATTTCATCAGCTCCTGCCAGTTCTGACTAGTGAATCTGGTATCCCTGTCACTAACTATCGACAGCGGTATACCATGCTCACTGACCCAATGGTCAAAAAACTTTTGAACTACTAAGTCTGTGCGTGCCTCTGCGGGCAAAGGAACAAAAACTGCATACTTGCTAAATCTATCTACTATGACCATGACTTGACTTTTGCCATGCCTACTCTTGACCTGAGTATCCATAAAGTTGATGGACACAAAATCTCCAGGTCTGTCAGGAATAGGCAAGGGTCTGAGAAGACCAAGAGGGGCTCGCGTAGTAGTCTTGTTTCACTGACAGACTTTTCAATTGCGGACATACTCTATGCAGTCGGCCTTCATACCAGGCCAGATGCACGCGCACATGAGGTTGGCTAGTGTCTTTTGCCAACCAAAGTGTCCCTCTGTATCATGGCATTCCCCTAAGATCAAACTACGGATCTCTTCACTGTTGGGAACGCACAGGCGGTCAACTACATTAGTCTTCTCGAATAATAAGCCATCAGTAGTGCGGTAGTCTGGTTCGGACTCTGGGGCCTCCCTAACTCTCTTGAGGAGGTCACTATAGATAGGGTCCTGTGCATATGCCTCTCTAACCTTTTGCTGCAGGTCTCTCCCTATATCTAGATAGTGCACTATCGCCCCAAAGTAATCAACTCTCCTACTCAGAGCGTCCGCTACTACATTATACTTCCCTTTAACCGACTTAAGTTCAAAGTCATACTGACCTAACTCAGCGGCCCACCTAGTAAGCTTAGGTGTCATCTTGGCCTGCGTCTTCAACCACCGTAGAGTCTCGTGGTCTGAATAGACTTTGAAATGCCTCCCAAGTAAGTAGTGTTTCCAGTGATCTAATGCTTGCCTGAGAGCATAGAGTTCCCTCTCATAGGTGGATGTCGCCACGTTCTCTGAAGGCATCCTGGCGGACATGAACTCTATGGGTCTATATCCATTGCCATTGTTTTGTTGTAAAACAGCACCTATGCCATACTGACTCGCGTCAGTGGTAACAACGAAAGGTAGGGACGGATCGGCTACCTTAAGGACTGGATATTCTATCAGGGCCCGCTTTAATCTTTTCAGGGCAGCTGTACAGTCCTTGTCCCACTTCCAGATTGCCTCTTTCTTTAGCAACCTGCGAAAGGGTGCAGCGATGGTGGAGAAGTTCCTGACGAACTTCCTATAGTAATTAGTTAGGCCTAGGAACGACCGCAACTCTGTCAGTATGCGGGGCATTGGCCAGTCTCTAATCGTTGCAATCTTACTATCTTCAGGTCTAACGCCATCTCCGTCTAAGACGTGGCCCAAGTACAACACTTGCATCTTGGCCCATTCGCACCTCTTTGCGTTGATCTTGAAGTTAGCTTCTCTAAGCTTCTCCAAGACCTGCCTTAGATGGCGCTCATGCTCCTGCAGGGTCTTACTGAACACTAGAATATCATCTAGATATACTACCACAAATCTATCTAACCACGGCCTAAACAATCATTCATACAGCGCTGGAAGGGAGAAAAGGTTAACAGAGACCCTAATTTTCAGACCACTTGCCATGCCATTTATAAGAAAAACAAAGGGTCATTTTAAACTTGCCACCAATTCGTAGAGTGGAGACCATACTAACTAACTGCAAAACAAAACCCAAGAAAATATAATTAAAAACATATAAAACAGCAAGGCAAAAGTGCATTTTCATGAAATTTCACCGACATCTCAATTTCAAAAATCTTGAGAAATTTCAGAAATCTTAACAGAGGAAATTCCAATTCTCCAAATGACACAAAATTTGGCACACACAAACCTTGAACCAAAACAAAAACAGGCCAAAAAAAAAAAAATCGAAAAACATAAAATTTGACCCCGAAACCCTAATTTCAGTTTTGGACTCGTTACCCAGGGCCTGAAAATGGGGGTCCCCGTTAACCATTTGTGTTGGAAGGTTGCTGGCACATTGGTTAGTCCAAAGGGCATGACTATAAACTCGTAGTGCCCGTATCTAGTCCGAAATGCTGTCTTATACTGATCATCAGGATAAACCTCTATTTGATGATAGTCTATCTTTGAGAAATACTTGCAGCCCTGCACCCAATCCAACAGGTCATCTATACGGGGCAGTGGTTCTGCATTCTTTACTGTGATAGCGTTGAGACCCCTATAGTCTATACAGATTTTGAGCTCTCCCTCCTTCTTGGGGACAAAAAGAACAGGTGCTCCAAATGGAGATGAACTGGGTCCAATCCAACCCTTCTCAAGAAGCTCGTCTAACTGTTTACACAACTCCTCTAACTCCATTGGGGACATCCTATATACAACACCCTTAGGAGTCCTACTGCCAGGCTCTATCTCTATGCGATGCTGGATCGGCCACGGCACTACTCCTGTCGGCGGCTTAGCTAAGTCTGTATACTCCTCCAGCAGTTTGGCAATAGCAGGGTCTATGGGTCTCTCCTCTTTAGACTCAGTGACTGTCCTCACATAGGCTACAAAAACTTGCTCTTCTGACTGCTCCTTCTTTACTAATCCCGCGAACGCGGGAGCACTGAGGCAGCATTGTGCCAGAGTGTTATCCACTCCTGACACATGAAATAGGCGGGCAGTCTTAACTTCACCCGTGGGACTAGGGAGCCTACACTCGTGCTCTCTCAAATGGAGTGTGGCCCCGCTGCCTCTTCCCAGTCCATTCTTAGGACTATGTCAAAAGGAAGACTGTCCTCTACGAGGAGAGTCAGGGAATGGAGAACTTTCTCCACCTTCCCATCTCTCTCTAGGCGAAAATACGCCTGGACTCCCTCGACGTAATCCTCGACTCGCATAGTGCGATTGTCTGCGAGGATACCGACTATAGGGTCTTCTAATTTTTGGACTTTTAGGTTCAGCTTTAACTTCTACAGCACTTTGCGACTGATATAGCTACGGGTGCCTCCACTATCTATAAGGGCCCCTACTCTGCCTCTAAAAATTTTTACATCTACGAACACCTGCTGCCCTTTTCCATCCTTCTTCATATTGGCCCAAGAAGGCATCCTCTCCTTCAATTCCTCTGCCACGCCTATGAGGGAAGTGCCTAGAGAGACCCTAACGCAAGTAGTCTCTAGACAGCTTTCTAGACACTGGCCAGCAACCTTTGCCATAGACACATGCGGGTTGGGATTTTCTATGTGGTGTGCGCACTCTTCTCCACATGGTCTAGAGGTAAGGGCAGTTGCAACCCCTACCGGCGGTTGCCTTTTGCTGCCTGTGCAACATAACGGGCCTCTCTATACTTAGGGCAATATTTAATAATGTGCCCAGGATCACCGCAATAAATGCATTGATTCTGGTCTATTCTCCTTTGCCACACTGACTGTTCGAGACCCAGGTCTTCCCAGGGCTTGCCTTGCGGCCAGCCAGGGTGCCATCCACCCCTCCTGGGAGGTGACCAACTAGAACGAGGACGGTTTTGCGCGGGACCATAACCCCTGCCTCCCTCTTGGCGGTTTCCTCTGCTGCCAACCCCCTGATCGCCCTGCCCTCGGCCACCAGAGGCTTGATCCCCTGGCCCCGACCTCCTCCTCTTCCTTGCGGCCTCCCTCCAGCCGCGACATCAGCATAGGTCCTCCCCTGACTCACACTACTGTCCTCCTCCTCGAGGCCCCACTCAATCTGACTGTACGAGACCTCCTCCATACCACCCTCATCTAAGGTAAGCATCAAGTGATCCTTGGCCTTAACCTGTCCCGAGATGGTACGTCCTTTCCACTTTTTACCCTTGTCTAAGTCCTTTTGCCAGAAAGTGGAGGCTGGCATGGATTGAGC